AGGCTCCAGCAAAGTCTCACGCGCCAGTTGCATTGGAGCTCAGTGGCTTAGGAGTGCAGGCCAAGGTGCCTCGGCTGCTGGTACCCATGAAGTTCCCCATCGAGAAGCCACCTCCTGTACGCAGAACACCTCCCGAAGCTCGAGAGGATCAGTGGCCGTGGCTTATTGGTTCGGAGTACCCTCCTGACCTTCAGCAAGCCTGCCAAGTTTGGTTTCGACATGTTGAAGCCTATCTTCTGTGCTTTCATGACATTCAAGGATGGTGTGGGCAATCGTGCGCTGGCAGAGCAGACGGGCTTCGAGTCCAGTACGCGCAGCTTGACCATGCCTGGAATAGTGAAATGCGGCAGAACACCACGGTTGAGGGCAGGAAGTGGACATCATTCTATTCTGCTTGCATGAGGCTGCATGCCATAGGCTCTGAGGCCCGTGCCAAGAAATATTCTCAACTTGCTGCGCGGCAGCGGCAGGGGCGCACTGCCTGCCGAATTTGCACCCCGCCGTGACCCACTGAAGGGCCGCTGGAGAGGTGGCAGCACGCGCCCAGGAGTGCCCTGGTGAAGCTGCTCTCTGAGGGTGGGGACGAGGCTCTCTCCTTCCTCCTGGGGTTGAGGGGCCACCTCTCTCACCTCCAGGCGAAGGCCAGGGCGGCGGGCGCCAAAGCCTGGAGGGCTTGGGCCGAGGATGCCGTCAAGAATCGAGGGGGGCGGGCTGCTTACGCCTATGTTCGGGAGCCTCTGCCCGACACGCAGATTTTTTCGGAGGCTACTGAACTTGCGCCGCCGTTGCCTGTCTCGGGACAAAAGGCTGTGGACAGGCATCTTGAACAGTGGGAGCCGCTTTGGAATGTTCCTAAGAGAGATGGTGAATCCCATCCGAGAACCTGGTGTCCTGGGCCTTTCCCGCGAGGCCTTCGGAGGCTTCCTGTGGTGCTGTTTCCGACCAGGGGTTTCTGACCTCTGGGGGTCTGGACCCTTGGGTGGAGCTGCCTAGGGTCACCATCTCGCAGCTGAGCTCTGTGCTGTCTTCCTACTCTGGGGCCTGCGGGCTGGGGTGGGGCCACCTCCACCCGAGGCAGGTTCTTTGGCTGCCTGGTTCGTACAAGCAGGCGTTCCTGGACATGCTTATGACATGGGAGTCGGATCCTGAGGATCTTGAGCTGTGGACGCGCTTGATCTTTTTCCTGGGCAAACCCTCGCCAGCCACGGGCGTTAGGCCCATTGCGGTGGCTTCCATCCGGGGGCGCATTTGGTCTAGGCTCAGGCAGCCTGTAGCTAGGAATTGGGAATTGTCTCTCAATAATGGCTCCTTCTGGGGAGTTGCAGGGCAGACCTGCGACAGAGCAGGGCATGTGCACAATAGCATTCAGCGGTTCGCCAGACTCAAGGGCTTCTCGGCTGCTAGCGGGATCCCAGATTTGTCCAAGTATTTCGAGCACATTTCCCATGAAGATCTTTTAAGGAAGGCTCTTGCGACGGGGTTCCCAGTCAGGCTCCTTAAGTGTCTCTGTGCAGGGTGCATATTGCCCAGACGAGCTAGGTGGAAGTCTTTCATTTCGGACCAGGTCCGAGCCAACGGCACTGTGGCAGCAGGCTGTAGGTGTGCCCTAGCGCTGGCTAAGCTTCTAGTGCATCCAGTGACTGTCACTCTCAAAGCTAAGTATCCCATGGTGAGGTTTCAAAGCCCAGTAGACGACATCCTGCTTCAGTCGATCGGAGGCAGGCAGAATGTTCTTGAGCAGTTTCCGCAATGCATGTCTGAATCAGCCGAGGCCCTTCAGCAAAGGCAACTCGTTGTAAATTGGGATAAGACGGGCTACATGACCAGTTCAGTGGAGCTGGATTCGGAGCTTAACGACCGCTGGAGCCTAGGTCATGCGCAGAAGCTTCGTAGCAGCAGGTGTTTAGGTACGGATGCCGCGGATGGCGCACCAAGGAGTGTTCAAGAGCAGAACAAACGCTTGGCCAAAGCGTCATCGGTATCAAAGCGTGTTTTTTCCGCTCAGGCAGGCAGGAGCTAGTGTCAGCACTATTATGAGGGGGTCTCCTACGGCGACGGCGATGTGGGGGGCGTCGGTCACTGGCATTGCTGACACTAAGCTTGCCGCCTTGCGACTTGCTTCGTTGCGTGCAGAAGGGAGGGTCCCTCCAGGAACCTCTGTTGCGCTCCGTCTGAGGTCAACGCAGCGAGGGTCCACCAGTGACCCCTGGACCGTGCATGTCTGTGATGCTGTTAAACACTGGACGCTGAGTGTCCATTCCTGTATGCCAGGCATTGGTCCGCTTCGGGCTTGTCTTGAGGAAGCGCAGGCGCTCCTCCTTAAGGATCGGCCATGGGCTCAGGTAGTTGGTCCAGCCCAAGCTGCTGTCCTTTCACTCGCTAGGATTGGGTGTCAGTTGCCAGCTGTAGAAATTCTGACGCACCCTCGCCTAGGGGACTTCGGGATCTTAGATTTTTCGCCTGGCTTTTTTCGTAGAGTTGATTCGGCCCCTGGCCCTCCAGGCGTCTGACGTTAACGCTTTGAAGCGTTTGAGGGCGCCCTGGGCCCACCCGTTGCACTGGGGCCCCTTTCGGTAAGCTGCTCGGTCAGGGCTACTCGGAACGCTGGAGCTCGCACCGAGCAGCGGCCATCAGGAGTTTAGTAGGAGGGTCTCGCTGGCCCCAGGCGCGCCTGCACGCGCACGGTAAAGCGGTGAATGATTGTTCTGTGCACTGTGGCATGCGCGGCACGCTTCATCACATATTATACGATTGCCCTCGGAGTGCTGTTCCTCGTCGCGAGGAATGCCCGACGCACGCAATGCAGGCCGCCATGTATGTGCGAAGTCTTGGGGGGGGGGGGGGGAACTTGCTGAGATGTTGGCTCGTTGTCTCTTCCCCTCGCCTTCCTTTTGCCTCCCCGTGACGGAAGTCCCTGAAGAGAACCAAGTGCGGTCTGTTGGGGTGTTTCCTGGTTGGAGGTTCTCTGGCCACGTGTTTGTCGACGGTTCCGCTTTCCACAGTCATCTTCAGGGATTGAGTCGGGCTGGCTGGGCCGTGATTCAGGTTAATCGTTCAGGAGAGTTCGTCGGAGCCATGTACGGCGCAGTGCCGTTCCACCAGGCGCCCTCGCAGTCCGCGCGCGACGGAGAGGACTGGGCTTTCCACATGCTCTCCCAGTTTGCAGAATGGTCTGTAGATGATCCCTTAGTTGTGCGCACTGACTGTGCAGGTACCTTTGGTTGTGCTACAGATTCGAGTGTTGCGTTGGCCAGTTCTAATGCACGTGCGCACATGTGGAGGACCTGGTGGTCTGATCTAGGTAGGAAGGCTTCTATTGTCAAAGTCGCTGCTCACAGGAGTTTGAGGGACTCTAGGTCTGATCATGACGCATGGCTCATCAAGGGCAACGCTATGGCCCATAGGTGGTCCAAGGCGGGAGCGAAACTTTGGAATGTGCCTCGAGACCATCTGGATTTCGTCTCGGGGGGTGAAAGGATTGCCGAGGATATAGTCCGCTGGCAGAGTAGGTGTCAGGAATTTTTCTGAGAGCTAGAACAGCCAGATTCAGTCGAGCTTTCAGGTACAGGGGACATCGTTTTAGATGAAGACCTGCCCCGGCATCTAATTCGTGCCTGCCTGGAGGAAGGTCGGGCTCCGTTTGGGGACTGGTCCTTGGCCGAGGGGGTTGAGACTGGTCCCTCCTCTGCTCCGAGTCCCTCCTCCCCCCTTGTTGGTACGGAAGAACCCCATGGTGTCGACGCTGGCCTTGTTGCTGCAACAGGTGTGCCTTGGGTTTTACCAGGACACAGTGTTGTGCAGGCCAGCGTCGCATCAGATCAAGGCCAGGAACTGTCTCCAAAATTATTTTGCAAGATCTGCGGTGCCTCAGCGCATTCGAACGCCCGTGGCCAGGGCTCAAGACCCAGAGGTCCAAGCTCCGTCGTGGCCTGTTCCCAGGGCACACCCTAGGGAATGCTCGGGTTGGGGCGGCTCATGGGCCGACCCTTCAGATGCGCTCTGTCTGGGGGCCTCTTCTCGAGCCTGCCCTTTCTCCTGCTGCTGCTGCTGCTGCTGCTGCTGCTCCGAGCAGTGATACTGTAGGTGATGAAGGGTTGGTCGAGCCCCAGGCGTCGGCGGGGAGCGTGAGGCCCCGCGTTTCAGGGGATGCGAAGCAGGCGAGCAGACTGCTATGCCTTCCCTGCCTCGACGCCACCAGCGTTGCCAAGCTGCATGGGTTCTCCTCGCCTGATGAGCTTGTTCGGTGGGAGAGGTCCCGTCAGAGAGCTCTTGAGGAGCCTGAATTAATCGGCGAGGATTAATTCGTGGCCGTGCGGCCAGGGGCGCCACGTGGCGCCCGCATAGTCAGTACCCTCAGTACCCTCCTCCTCCTCCTCCTCCTCCTCCTCCTCCTCCTCCTCCTCCACCTCCTCCTCTCCTCCTCCTCCTCCTCCTTCCTCCTCCCTCCTCTCCTCCCCTCCTCCTCCTCCTCCTCCTCCTCCTCCTCCTCCTCCTCCTCCTCCTCCTCCTCCTCCTCCTCCTCCTCCTCCTCCTCCTCCTCCTCTCACTCCTCCTCCTCCTCCTCCTCCTCCACCTCCTCTCCTCCTCTCCTCCTCCTTCTCCTCCTCCCCCTCCTCCTCCTCCTGCTCCTCCTCCTCCTCCTCCTCCCCTCCTCCTCCTCCTCCTCCTCCTCCTTCTCCTCAGTTCTACTCAAGTGCGACTCAGGTTCGAGTCCAGATCGACTCAGGGTCGGCGAACGTTCGACGCAGCTTCAACGCACGAGTGGAGCGAGCGTCTCCAGGAAGGGCCCCAGAGCGAGCATCCCAAACACATCCGTCTCCGCGCCCTCGCGGTCTGGACTCTGGAGCGCGATCCCGCGGATGCGCGGTCGCACGGCCACATTCCGTGCGAGGCATCCACGAAAAGACGCCCCGTATCCGCGGGGTCGCGCCCAGGAGCCCGGCCCGCGAGGCCGCGGATACGGATATGCTTCTCGCCCACGAGGCGCCCTGGCCACGCTGATGGCGCTCGAGCTCGCGGGCGGCCTCGACCCCTCGCGGTCGCTGCCGCCCGCGCCGGACCGGGGTTGGTTCTTCGGCCTCTTCGGGGCGCCTCGCCTCCTCCGCCGCCGCCGCCGGCGTGCCGCCGTCGCCATCGCCGCCCGCCGCCCGCCGCCGCCGCCGCCGCCGCCGTCGTCGTCCTCGTCCTCGTCGCCGCCGCCGTCGCCGCCGCCGCCGCCGCCGTCGTCGTCGTCGTCGTCGTCGTCGTCGTCGTGGTCGTCGTCGTCGTCGTCCACCCAGACTTCCAGCGTATTGGGAAACGCGCGCCCAGGATTTTTGTCGTTTTCGGCCTCCGGGTCCCTCTCCTGGCCGTGGGATCGCCACAAAACGATTCAGGATGCAATGCCAGCATGGGGAAATGGTCCAGAGCTCAGGGAACGCCGTATTGATTGAACGAATCAATACGTCGGAAGGCCGGGAGCGTCGTCGTCGTCGTCGTCGACGTCGTCCACATCAGCGTCGGCGTCAATGTCGTCGGCATTCTCTTCCGACTCCGCATCTTCCTTCCGCTCCTTTCTTGTCATCTCCTCGTGACGGGGCGGAGGAGGATGGGTGGTAGGAGGGAAGGCGGGGGGGGGAGGAGGAGGAAGAGGAGGAGAGAGGAGGGTGGGAGGATGTGATGTGCCAGCGGCTCGGGAAGGCGCCGTGCAAGTGCCGCCGTTCGCTGCTGATGGGGTTCGATCCGACTCGCTCGGCTGGAGGCCGTGTCGAGGTGGCGCTGCAGGCCCCCGCCTCTCGGCGGCGACAGCTTCAGGCGCGTGGAGCTCCGCCGCGGAGACCTCGAGGCTGCGACAGAGCTGGCGGCGAAGGCTTCTCGACGCAGGCGGCGCCGTTGCCTTCGCTCTCTTCCGAGCCGATCACGCGCGCGCTCGACCCGACTCGGAGGTTCGACGCGCCGCGCCGGAAGCCTCGACGACGGCCTAGTGACGAGTACGGGGGGGAAGGGGCTGCCCCACGCCCTCGCGCTGAGGTTGCTCCTAGACATCGTCTCGCCGGAGACCGGCGGGGCCTCGGCTCGGCGACTGCTGCGCCCATCTCGAACGAGTTCGGCGCGAAGGCCGTGCAGGAGGTCCTCCATCGCACTCGTCGGGCTCGGCGGACTCCCGCGGCGCGGCGCCGCGCGCGGGCTGCCAGTTTGGACGAGCGCAGTGGCGCGGAAGGCTTCTCTGCGCAGCGCCACATTATGGGGGCGTTGTGGCACAAGCTTCCGCTTCGTCGAGGGCCAGCCGATGTTGCGCCTGATCGCGGGCGCGGGCACCAGCGCGGCAGGTGCCGCGAGGGCGCGCTCGCCCGCCAGGAGGCGCTCGCTGGGGGCCTCGTCGGTCGCGGCCAGGGAGGAAGCGGCGAATGCTTTCGACTGCTCAACCTTCTGCGCTGTTCGGGCGACCGCGGCAGCTTCGATTCAGGACGACTCGTTGCGCCGCTCTCTCCAGCGGCGCGGGGCGAGCTCGTCTGCGATCATCGGCGCCCGCGGGGGGCAGGCGATGCACCGCGTGTGCGAGGCCTCATGGGCGACAGTTCCGCGGCCGCGTTCTCTCCGCGCACCTGTCGTCTTCCCGCGCGGGCGCGGCTCGATGAGTTGCGCTGCCGGACATCGGCGTAGCCGAGAGCCCTCCTCCTCGGCCGACGGATTGCGCTGAGTGATTCGAGCAGGAGCTGGTTCCACGTTCGCCTCCTGCTGATCTTGATCGTATCTCGTGGCCTGTTGAGGCAATGTGCACGACGTGGGTGACTACCCCGCAGCGCCTAGCGGACTTGTCGCGTCAGATATGCGCCGACGACACCAAAGAGACGCGGGGGCCTCGGAAAAACACGCCCAGATCACGGTTGAGCAGGCGCACGTGCACCTGGGAGACTCGTTGTCAGTGGGTGGACATTCTCGCGCTGCTGGCAAGCATTGCATCTCGCCGTAGTTAGTCGGTCTAGAAGCGAAGGCTCACAATGCTGCTTTGTCTGGGGATGCTTTCGCCTCCCTGGGTAGGTTCAGCACGACGGCGTTGCGTCGGGCATTCGAACGTCTGTGAATGCAGAAATCCAGGGAGAGCTCCAGGGGCGCATCTTCGCGCGCAGGAGAGGTTTTTACTCCATGGGCACGTTCTGGGCGCGGCGCGATATTTGGCCTGCTGCTGATCGAGAGTCGCCCCGCGCTCGCGAGCAGAGTTGGATTCGCGAGCGTGCCAATCCACGCGCTAAGCGATTCGCGTCCGTCGTCCTGATCCTTGCCCAGAAGTCTGGGGCCGAGCCGCGCGAATCCTGGTTTTTCGCGGGGCCCTCCGAGGACCCAGCTATGAGGCCGCGCGTTCGAGCCCTCTTCGTGGGCGGGGGACCTCCCTGAAGGGCATTTCTTGGCCCCGGGCCTGAGGGCTTCGCGGGCGGCCGCAGCCGCGCCGCCTCCCGCCGGGCCCCGTGGACCCCCCGGCGCTCCCCGGCCTCCCGGAGGTGATCGCGAGGCGCCCCGCTGTCTGCTGCCGTCCGGCGCCGCGGCCGGGCGGCCATCCGAGAGGCGCGGCTCTTGAGGGCGGGGGGCGCTCGCGTCCGTCAGTTGCGCGCGCCGTCGCAGTCGCGAGCGAGCGCGCCTCCTTCAGGAGGAGAAGAAACACACAGACAAAATTAATCGTCGATCCCCCAGAAAATATGGGAAAATATGGGAAGTGGGCGGGAAGACAGAAACCCAGAAAATATGGGAAAATATAGGGAATTATTTTATTTGTGTGTATTTATTTGTGTGTCTTGGGGCCCCTTGACTCCTGCTGTCCAGGTTCGAACTCGACGAATTGCCCGAGGGCGCGCAGTCCAAGCTGCACTTAAAAGGTCGGCCCCCCGCCGAACGCCGCGCCGTCGATTCGCCCCGTCCTGGGGCCCGAGCACCTGCGTTGCCCCGTGGCTGAAGTGGCTCTCGCCTCTGTCTTTGGGGGTTGAAGCGCGATCGATACTCCGCGACCTCCTGTCGTGGCCGCGCTGGGCATTTTGGGTTTCGAGCTGAGATTGGAGTCGCCACCTTCGCTCTCGCGCGTCTCGGGCTCCACTGGAGTTACTCCAGATTTCGTAATAAAGGGAGGGGGGTCTCATTTCGGGGGGGTCTCTTCCAGGCCATCTTGGAGGGCCTGGGGGGGTCTGGGGACGATGTTTTGGAGGGTTCTCCCACGGGGGAGGTCTGAAATGGCTTGTCTTGGAGGGTCCAGACCCCCTCCCATTTATTACGAAATCTGGAGTACTCTGGGGCGACGTTCCGCTTGGGGGCCAATCGGCCCGCCGCCGCAGCGGGGCGCTCGAGGTCGCGCCGAGGACGCGGGCCACGCGGGGGCCGCTCCGGCTCTCGGCAGCCGCCCCCCGCCCTCGCGGAGACCGCCGCCGAGTGGGGGGGGGGGGGCAATCAGCATCGGCAGCAGCGGCGAGCGCTGGTCAGGGGCATCCGTGTGTTCGCCGCGTCCACAGAGGGGCTCGCCAAGATGGTCTTCGGTCTGGCCGATTCGCAGCTGGCTCGCGCGTTTCAGGACTGCGTCGCGCAGCTCGGCGGCGAGGAGGTCGCGCGCGAAAGTGGCCCTTCGACCCGCTCGACGAATTCGAGATGTAGCGACGCCTGGTTCGGCCCAGCAAGCTTCGGCAGCGGTTGGCGCTGGTGTTCTAGAGCGGATAGGAGGGCATCGCGCGTGGCCAGACGTCGTGGGTTCTCGGGTACACAATGCTCAGGATGAGTCAGGTATCGTGAGACGTGACGGCGTGATATCTTCCCTCGGCTGCTGCATCGCCTATCCTCTTCGGATGTCAACGATGGTTGGGGTTTCCCTGGGGTCGACATCGGGGCTTGTTCAACGCCGATTGCAGCTACTTCGTGTGCACCACTGTCGGCGAGATCGGGATCGCTCGTTACTTGGTCATCTTTCGGTCTCCACTAGTGGCCAGGTCTGCTTCGGTGGCGCCGAGTGGGATAGTGTCCTTGACGGCGCCGCAGAGGGCCAGATCAGCCTTGCAGAGACAGGCGTTTGGGGGGCAGACGACGTTGTCGGCGAGAGTTGCTGGGTCGACTGAGTTCGGGGGCCTCGTGACGCCCGCCTTCCAAGGGGCCGCCCGCTGTGCTGCTGCTACCGCTTTTTTGTTTTCCTGGTCTTCGGGCTCCTGGGAAATTATCTTGCGTGCAAGTTCCGCGGCGTTGTTCGCCGCGGGCCGTAGTTGAACACGGACAATTTGGACCCCCCCAGAGGCGGCCGTCGTTCATTCGCTTTCACAGCGCACGATCGGTTACACATGGTGCATATGAGCTCGAGTTTCACTGGCAGACGAGACATGTGGCCCGATATCGCTTCGCCGCCGCCGCCGCCGCAGCCCCCTCCTCCTCTTCCTCCTCCGTCTCGTTTTCCTGCTCTTCCTCCTCCTCCTCCTGCTCCTCCTCCTCCTCCTCCTCCTCCTCCTCCTCCTCCTCCTCCTCCTCCCCCGCCCTCCTCGCTTTGGAACCGCCCGGGGCGCCGCGGGACCCCGGATGGCCCCTTCTCCGCCGACCCAGACCTTCATCCACGTCTTCGTCCTTTTCCTCGACCCGCCTCCCTGCCGCGTCGGCGGCGGTGGCCTGGGAGAGGGGGAGGAGGGGGAGGAGGATGAAGAGGCAGACCTGGTGGAGGTTAGACGAGAAGGAAGAAGAGGAGGAGGAGGAGGAGGAGCAGGAGGAGGAGGAGCAGGAGCAGGAGGAGGAGGAGGAGGAGGAGGAGGAGGAGGAGGGGGAGAAGGGGGAGTGGGAGGAGGGGGAAGAGGCGGAGGAGGAGGAGGGGAAGGAGGAGCAGGAGGAGGATGAGCAGGAGGAAGAGGAGGAGGAGGAGGCGGAGGAGGAGGAGGAGGAGGAGGATAACGAGGAGAAGGAGGAGAACGAGGAGGAGGCAGATGTTCAACGCCCATAGAGAGAAGTCCAGGGGGAGAGAGGGGGGAAAAATGGGGTGGGGTGCCCATCAGAGGAGACCTTTTAAACCCCGCCGAGGGTTCCATCCCCACGGTCCGGGGCCCAGCCGACAGGGCACCCCACCCCCCGAACTCGCTAACCGAGCTCTCCAGCCTCGGCC